ATTAAGCATACTTGCGAAAATACTCTCTTGCCGCCGCCTCACCTGCCAGTTTGACCTCCTTTTCAGTGGGAGAAATCAAGATTTGATCTTGATATCAGTTCCTTGTGAAGAGACTAATAGGAAGCTGTGCTCATGTGCCATCCTAATATTTCTTGCGAAGGACTAGGTTCTTAGAGAAAAACATTGCTGATTCTGCTCCATCCTTCAGTGCGCCATCTTCAGTGGGAACTATCTTTGGATCCTTCTTTGGGCGTGAACACCTTCGTTGGGAGATACTATTTCTCCGTATCAGATATAATCCTCTCCTACTGCTTTTGTTCAGATCTGGTTCAATTTATGGTTCAAGATTGATCATTGAAAATATGATTTTCTAAATAGGGAATGTGATTCCCAGTTGAAGGGAGAGAAAAATTTTTGAAATTTGCCCACCTAATTCCGCAAGATTTGGGCGTCCATACGATGGATCTCTCATCCCTTCACCACTATGGGAGCAAAAATTAGCTATCCAATACTAATCAATCAAATTGATTAACTAGATGATTTGGTTCTACTTAAAATTGAATATTTTCCTAATTGAAAGTTTAAGTTCAGTTACGAAAGCATCCCTAATTGAAGTGCAATGTAATCTTGTTTCTGAGGTGGGCCCCACTCCTTATGAATAGCCGAGATCTGATTTGGTCCTCGTAGAACCACCCTTACAACTTTTTGTAACTATGCATTGGGAATATCTCCATACTTGTATGCCTTTTTTTTTGGGGAAATATTCTCAATGCCTAATTGCAAGGGACTTTGAGGATGGTCGTACGAGGACCAAATCCAAACTCTAAACAACCTATAAACTATGTTGGTGAAAAAATCTAGGGAGCCAAATTGCTTGTGATCCTTATTTGAAGTTCAAAGCCCATTTGGGAGGACTTTAGCACTGATTAAGTTACTTCAAAGAAGCTACTAGAAATAAACTCATTAAAATGTTAATTTTTCGACTCATGAATATAATATATTCTTTTGACTTTCCTGATTTTTTACCAAACATGGCTTGAGGCTTTCCATGTAGGGGCCTACCTTGCAATGCTAGTAGCCAGCCATGTGAAAGCCCTTCCAAATGGGCACTCAACCTCTTTGAAATAACTTATTAGAAGCGCTTCAAAGCAACTAAAAATAGTGAATATTTAGATCCGCCCTCACAAATAGGCCATAAGAATAGGGGGTGACCATTTTAACCTGACCCAAAAATTTTGAGCTTTGGCCTAGGTTTTGGACTCGCAATTTTCAAGGTTGGGCTTGAGATTAATACTTCAAGCTAGCTCGACATGTATATATTTAAATATATGTATTTTATAATATATATATATATATATGTATATTATATTGTATTGTATTGTATTATATTATATTATAATATACTATATTATATTACATTATATTATATTGTATTTTATGTTATATAAATATTATAATGTCGTAAGTGTTGTGGTAAGGGTAGGTGTGGTGGTCTCCCTCAAGGGTAAAGAAAGATGGCGAGGTGTTGGGTAGTAGAGGTTAATGGAGTTGTTAGAGTTGATAGGATCATTTCGATATTACAACTTATTCCCCCCCCCTCCCCCCACAAGGGGAGACTCCGAGGCCCTAAAGAGAAGGAGCCAAAAGGAGTTTGATTCATACTTGGAAAGGGAATCATTGATTCGGTATTGGTTGCCATGAGGACACTACTAGGGGTTCGCCATGTGTCGGGTGAGATCTTCATARGATGAAGTTTCCTTTCGTCCGAGGATTCTCATGACACATGTGCGCTACTTCATCTTACTGGTCTCATGTATTGACATAACGCATATGACGTTAGAGCTAGTCTGATGTGTTTACTTAATTGCTCTGTCATTTGTTGGATGTCTCATCGTGAGTTACTTTGGCTTGTTGCGAATGCATGGTGGTTCTTAAATCCACCGCAGGTCCGCAATGTCAAGCTCATTGCAAGCATGCGGTGAGTTATGGGTTCATCGTAGGCCCCCGGTGGCTTCCATGTTGCCATAGGTGTTTATGTGGTTTTGGTTTGATACCTTCGTCGTGATCTCTGGTTCCATCCTTGTTTACGAAAAATGGTTGCTCRTAGAATCAACATCTCCCCTGCCCTCGAAGAGCATGCCGGCAACCTCGAAGGCGCCAACAAGAAGATTGGAGACCATGTCGTCAAGGGACTATCGATCAAGCAAATATTAAGATTGTTAGACCAAGTATACCTCCTACCATGAAACTCGATATCAATAAGATGACATCTATTTTGCACTACAGCCAAAGGGTAGCTACTATATCCAACACCTGAATGATCACCACTCTTTTCTTTAGCATTAGCTGTAGCGTTAAATAGACCAACACATAACCATGGCCCTTTGTAATTTTCAATAATGCCATCAAACAACTCCCACAAAGCCCCTCTTTGACAATGATGGGGATCCCCATAAACACATGAAAATAGCCACTCCGCACCTAGAAGGAAACCATGAACAAGTTCCATAGTCATACATTGCTTAGGACAAGGTTTTAAAAGCCGACTCGGAAATGGAACCGTCCTAGCCACCTGTTTCTAGTCAGCAATTTGACTGTCCAAGTTGAATGGTTCAAGTCTCAATACCTGCTCGATCGGTAGTCTCTTGAACAACCTAGTCTCCAATCTCAATATCTGCTTGATCGGCAATCTCTTGAACGACCTGGTATCCAATCTCTGTATTGGCACCTTCGAGGTTGTTGGGCTGCTCTTTAGGGATAGGGGAGAGGTTGATTCTACAAGCGACCATTCTTTGTGATCAATGACGGAACCATATATCATGATGAGGGTATCAAACCAAAACCACATAAACACCTATGGTGATACAGAAGTCATCAGGGGCCTGTGATGAACCCATAACTCACCATAGGCTTGTGATGAGCTCAAAGCCATCGTGGACATGCGATAGACTTAAGAATCACTATGCATTCGCAACAAGTCAAAGTTACTCGCAATGAGACATCCATCAGATGATGAAGCAATTAAGTGAGCATGTTAGACTAGCTTTGATGTCATGCGTTATACGTCAATATAGGAGACCCATAAGGGAAAGTAGCGCACATGTGTCATGAGAATCCTCTGACGAAAATGAAACTTCATTCTATGAAGATCTCACCCGACACGTGGAAAACCCTTAGTAGTGTCCTCATGGCAACTGACATCAAATCAAGGATTCCCTTTCCAAGTAGGAATCAAACCTCTTTTGACTCCTTCTCTTGAAGGCATCAGAGTTTTCCCTTATAAAAGGGGGGGGGGGGGAATAAGGTGTAATCGTGACAAAATCCTATGAACTCTGACAACTCTGTTAACCTCTACTACCAAACACCCTGTGACCTTTCTTCGCCCTTCAAGGAAACCACCACACCTAGCCATACTACAACACTTACAAATGTCACACTTATAATATATATTATATAATGTATAAAATGAATTTATATGGATATTACATGCTATTTAGTATAAAATATTATATATATGTAATATTTTAAATATAAAAGATGTAGGTCCAAATTTGGCTTGGATCACCCTAGCATAGCCTTATCTTTYAGGCTTGCAACCTAGGTTGGGCAGGGCCCATGCCTAAGCTATAAGGTTGTGTTTGGCTTGAAGGAAAAAGTAGGGAAAGGAAAGAAAACCTTTACAAACCTTATATAGTTTATCCATACCTTTAACATTCCCTTTTTTCTTATTTGTTTTGAGGGAAATAGAGGGATGGGATGAGAAAAATGTGGGATGCCAGATCCTGAAATCGTGGAATCGGGGTCGCACTGCTTTAGTGCGACCCCGGTGGAAAAACTCGAGAAATCATTGTTACCACTTACCATCGATGACGAACAGAGGAGGGATGGGCCGAGAAAAACAAACCAGCGACGACGAATAGAGGAGGGAGAGAACCAATGCCTTCCTCGTGTACATATATAAAATTATAGAAAATAATATATACAATAAAAATATTATAATTATAATTATTATAATTCTTAATTTTTAAATATCAAATAAAAAAATACTTTATATATAATTTTTATTTTTATAAAATATTTTTTCTCAAAATCGAGCTCGAGCTCAAGGTTTTGGCTCAAACTGAGCCTTGTAGAACAGTCTCGAGCCGAGCTCGAACCTGGTACTATTCGGCTAAGCTTGGCTTGAAGCCACCCCTACTCGTCTCCCTCACCTTCTTCCTATTATTTCCGTCTCCCCACTCCTATCTCTCTCTCATTCCCTTATTTTCCCTCTTTGTCTCTGATGGCTGTTGCTTTCTCAACCCTACTTGCTTTACTTCAGATCCCAAGTTCATCCTCTGTTACAGAGAAAGTGCGAAGAAGCATATTTAGAGTGATAAACATGGTGGGACCATTGTGCGGTGGTCGATTTAGCATCGGCAGAGAGGGGGGCTCTCGGTGCCGGAGGACCTCTTCGGAGCTTAAGTCATGGAGTTCTCTATCTCTCCCTCCATCTTCCTCTTCTCTCTTCTCCCTCACCTTCTTCTTCCTATTCTTCCCGTCTTCCTCCCTTTCTAGTGATTTGATTTATAGACACTCCTCTCTCTCTCTCTCTCTCTCCGATCGCTGTTGCAGTCATGGAGCTCTCTTCTTCAGTTTACATGAATCTGGCGAAGAACCAGCTCGTAACTATGTTTTCTTATTATTTTCCCATATATAAAACTAAACAGTGCAAATATAAATTTTTACATTTTTCCATCCCATCCGATCCAATCTTTTCCCATCCCACCCAAATCTTCCCACAAACCAAACGGAGCCTAAGAACCCATTTAGCTAGGCCAGATATCGCACAAACGCTAAAAAATCAGCTACTTGTAATGGAGCAGCACTGGACTAAAACCGTGAATCACAACCGTCAATGTGTTAATTTGGCTCACGTGAAGTGATTAAAATGGGGCACAGCGATGCTTCGAAGGTCATGATTTCACGGTTTTAGCGCAACGCTACTCTAATTCAAGTAGCTGGTTTCTCCTCGATAAAAAACGTGCATAGCTCGTCACTGTCATAGTGTCACCGTGTGCTGCTTCATTTTGAATTGGATTTTGGAACTTAAACACCGAGTTCAGTCTCGGATGAGAAGGGCGGGAAAAGAGAGGGAGGGATGGAGGAGCGAGTAGAAACCCTTCAATCCTCGGAACGACCTCTTGATTTCGAGACTTTCCGTAGGTCTGGTGTTAAATTACATTCTCTTTGATCTTCATTTATTTTTCAATTTCTTTATTTTTTCATTTTGAAGTTTCGTGCACTACTTCAACCTTTATCGCTTAATTTCTTATCTGGTTTTGATTTATTCATTCGTTCAGTCGAGTTAGAGAGCTCTCAAATTACAGACGTTCGGATGATTTCTCTGAAACATCTCCGTTGGACTCCGAGAAATTACTAGAAGAATGTGTTATCCATCTCGAGGTGAACCTTCAGTTACCTGTTTCTTTTCTGTTTTTTTTTTTTTTTTTTT